GCTAATTGAGAGATGCAGAGCTAACAAATGGCGGACTACCTGTCTCCCGGTTGAAGTCGGATGCCGTGGTTTTGCAGTGCTTTAAGTCGGCTTGGGATCAGGGGGGTAAAAAAAAGAGAAAGGCCATCAGGGTTCTATCAGAAGCTGCAGAGAAAGCCTCAAAATGGCTATAGATTAAAAGATCTGTTCCATGGAGATCTCCGACAGGGATTGGTTGGCATTGAGGTGCAGTTGGGAAGAAAGGACAAGGGATATGTAGATAGTCAATGTTTGGTGGGGAGGGTCCTTTCAATTTTAAAAAAAAAAATTTATATTTTTTTTCACCTTTTTCAACAATGCCGTCTTTGTGTTCCTGACTATTTTTTTGCATTCCTAGTCGGGAGGGGACAGAGGAGAGGTAAAGAAAGAACAGAAAGAAAAAATGGTGGTCGTGGGAAAAGAAAGCAAGGAACGTTTCTGATCATAATTCCTATGACCAACGAATGTGTTCGATATTTTGTTTTTCTTATTTTTTCTTTTTTTTTTGAGGGGGGGGCGGTGGGTTAAAGTAACACTTCACATGAAAAGAAACTTTTCTTGTCATTACTTACCTGTTATATCAGACTGTTCGTTGAGAATGTGGATCGTTCTGCGTGGTCAACATAAGATGGAAAAAGAAAAGAAAAGACGAGCATGCTGTCTTTTCTTTTTTTTTGTATCGTCTTTGGCTGAGGAGGAAGTGACGTAAGTCGTTAACGATTGGTCAGCAGTGGCATTTATTTAACGAATCCATTTGTTGCGTGCTTGGCGTATTTTTATTTTTTTTTTTTGCTTCAGGATCGTCTGCCGGAATAGTACTGTTTCGGTAGGGTCTCTTAGGTGATTAAGTATGATGTTGGAAGACCCGAAACTTGTCATGACCCCAAGTCATAACATCAATGACGAGGCGATCCTGAGCACTCGTTGGAGTGTTTTCATGTCAAATTATATATATATATATATATATATATATATATATATATATATATATATATATATATATATATATATATATATATATATATATATATATATAATGATTTGGGCGCGTGGCAGGTGGTTAGAACGTTCGCTGACTATGGGACACGGGTTCGAATCCCACCACGGTTGATTTGAGTTGCTGGTGTTATCGGCCTGGCGACCACAGCTTACGCCACCTTTCGAAAGTGCCTGGAAACCATACCACGAATTGACCCAAGCCTTGTGAGTGAAATCGAGTAGACAGAACACTTGGGATCCGCCGATAAGTGTGCTAGCACGGTCACATGTCATCGTGTCCGAGGGTTTGAGTGTGCTGGCCTTGTTCAGATTGTTGATCACGCTAGATAACACGCTCTCTAAGGTCCAAAGGATTTGTTTGTAGTTTCGATCCTGGCTTGAAGCAATCGGATATCTAGTCACACCGATGGGCGGTAATACAGCGAAACAGGCTTGTATGTGGATGACTATATATATATTCGACTCTCCCGTCGAATTCGACGTATGAGGGTCAAGCAGATCAGTTCCTAGGAAACCGACAGCCCGACGCCGGGGCATGAGATTTGATTATAGTGGTGAAGGTTTCGTGCAGGACCATCCACACTTTTTGAAGGGCCGAATACAGAGACCTGGTACACTAAGTGCCACAGGGTCCCCAGATGACCCTGCGCAGATTTTGAATTCAGAGTTGTCCTTCTCCTAGACCAGTTGCCATCCAAGGCTATATAACCCAGTCTGTCCTACTATTTAGCCATAGCTGGAGGGCGAAGACTATATATATATATATATATATATATATATATATATATATATATATATATATATATATATGTGTGTGTGTGTGTGTGTGCCAATATAGGAAAGAACCGTTAGGTTAATAATCCAAAAGATCTTTAGTATTTTTTTTTTTTTTTAAAAACAGTGCTCAATACATAAGTAGAGCCTAAAATTTTAAGGTATACAAATACGAATTTAACGGCGTAACAATAATGCCAACAACTCTATGTCGTTGAAACAGACCAGACGATATGCGTCAAAATGATGTTATCATTCGCTTGAAAATAGACACCCCGACCTTACCTTGACTTAACCACTTTTCGAAAGTAACTAATATGTTGATACAATATATTCACCCTTTCGCCCCTTGTTACAATAATTGGTTTCACCATTTACATGTAATTAAGATTACGAATATATATGCTTATAAAGCTCCGTAAATTTCAAGATTAGTTATTCGAAAATTCGCTTGAGGATGAAACAAAGCTGGTTTTTTAGCTTCTATTTTTGAAACATGAGAACTCTTATGTAGCGAAGGAATCATATTTTAAAAAAAAATAATTATAACACGGGCGTGCAGAAATCTTGGGCTACGTTGGTAGATTAATTACATTTATTAATTTTACTCCCAAACCGAGAGTTTATATCAGTAGTCTTTCCTCTGTATATTTTATGATCTTTCATGGCCAGAAAACAAGTTACTGCTTTTTCGTTGAAGCTGCATGGTCGATGGCAGATCATCCTAAGCATAGTGAGGCTGGGAAAAAGACCACGCAAAATTACGGGGCCACCAGTGAATGTCTTTTCTTAACTTAGGAAGGATTTGCTTTTTCAAAAAAAAAAAAAAAAAGAAAAAAAATTAAAAAAAATAAAATAAAAGAAGCAATCTTTATTATTACAGAAAGCTTGAAACCTCAAAGTATGGAAGTCTAATCCGGGTTGGTAGCATCTATTAGTATCATCTGTAAGATAAAGAATTAAGTTATGATTATGAAGATATCTGTCCCACAACGTAAAGGTTACCAGGAACACTGTCCGAATGGAATTTCTTCCTTACACATGGAATACGAAAGGAATGGGGATGATTCATCCTTGTGTACGTGGCAAGGTAGGTTTGAATTGGTAGAACTAAGAAATGTAGCTCGTCTGAACATTTGCTGCGGATATAGTGCAGCGGTAACGAAAAGGGAGCTTTGTTTGTTTAGCGGCATATCAACTCCTTATGGGTCATCTAATGTCGTAATTTGATTTTCTTGGGAGCATTAATAATTTCTGTGACAAACGTATTGTTATTAATATTCTTTTGTTACAAAAATATCTTGCTGGTAATATCTTTTTTTTTACTATGAAAATATATTGCTGGTATCTTTACTACAAAATCTTCTCTACTTTCATCGTGTTTTTATCCAAGTTTGGGGGTTAACTATTTGCCCATATCTGAGACCCTAACAGGTGCTACCACCACAGGGTCAGGGTGGACCTGGAATAACCAGCAATTAAGAGGTGGTTCCACGCTTCTCAAAATCTCCAGATCAGAGGCCTTGATGCCGGATGTAGTTTATCGTTATACTCTGGACATGCTTGAAATTAATTCATCCCATAAAAAAAGGTCGTATAAACATTTTTGAACTCAGTGTTTGAAAGAGATGATTAGGTGCCTCCATTGTCAGGTTAACAATTTCCTTTTATGTGCCGTGTCTCCTAAAGATGTTAGCGATCATGGCTCTCCACAATTCCCTCTACTGTTTAATTCTTAATAAAATTTGTCTTTTTGTAATTTCACTACTAAACCTTGCTTCACCCTCCACTCACTGAAGCTCGCTAGATAGTTTATGCATTTTCCTCTTTCCCTCTTGCCTTCAATCTGTCCTGTGTGCATCAGATTTTCCAAGCCTTCCTTCCTCATTATGTGCCCTAGAAATCTCAACAGTCTCTTTCTGATGTTAATAAGTATAAGAGTCCTTTTTGATTTTTTTAAAAACTTCGGCGTTGCTCCAGCATCCTTCTGTAGAACCATATTTCTGTTCTTTCAAGTCTCTGCTTCATCTACGAGGAGATTTTCCAGCATTCTCTTGCCACAGAGAAAGACTGATACTACATAACAGTTTTTTTTCTTTGTTTCTAATGACATTTTTCTATTTCTTAATTCTTTGCTTAACTTTTGGAAGGCATCTTTCGCTATCCCAATACGCCGTCGGATTCCAGTGTCACACTTTCAGTCCTCTGTTAAGACACTTCCCAGATGTATAAATCGTTGTACTGGTTTCATTTTGGTATCTCCAATTTATAACTTGCATGTTGAGCTATTCCTTTTGCCGACAACCGTATTTTTTAAAGCTTTTCAATCCAAGCGAGCCAGGAGTGTCACTAGCACGCAAGGGGTTACAGAGAGTGGGAGTAAGAGTAAAGAGGCTTGAAAGAGGAAAGGATGAAGAGAAGGACGGGGAATAGATCAAGGCATCTAGAGATGTCGATTGACATTGCATTTGAATAGTTGGAGATTATAACTACCAGCGAAGCAAATAAGAGGGAATTTCACAGACTGTAAGTGCAAGACATGAAGTTATTTGAGTAGAAGAGACGGTTACCTTTAACTGTTTCGAAGGTGAAAGGGTGGGTCTGAGGTGCCACCCTAGTAGCACGTTTAAATCCATGCAGTTTGGAAACTAGCGAGAGCAGCTCTTCGAAAGTATCTGTAGAAAAGACCGAGGGAGGCGACGGCACATCTGTGAGAGAGCGACTGTAAACGAGATGCCAGATCAAGGCGAACTGCATTGCAAATCCGGCTCTGGATTTTGTCGAGGACTTTAAGACGAACAGCGAAGGCTCCAGACCATAAACGACAGCAGTATTCCATACAAGGGCGAATGGTTGATTTGTAGATTTGAAGGATGGACTCGGTCGAGAAGAACTTTTTGGCACGACACAGATAACGAACTTTTATATTTTATCTTCATATTATATTTTCTTGCAAGTGATGTTTAATCCTTTCTTCTTGTTTTCGTTTACTACCTTCTGTAGGAGTTCTTACAGTTTCCTTCTGCGTCTACTATCAACCGTGTGTCATCTGCATATCTTACGTCGTTGGGATTGTGGCCGCTAACAAGGGATTCTGGCAGGCAGGCCTTCTAATTCACTCTCAATCGCCTCACTGTATATAAAGAAAGAAAAAATGTGAAAGAACGAAGATGACAATAGAAGGGTTCAAATATTAGAAAGACAAAGGGTTAGAAAGGAGGCGAGAAAGAAAGAAAGAAAGAAAGGATGCGAGAAAGAAAGAAAGGAGGCGAGAAAGAAAGAAAGAAAGGAGGCGAGAAAGAAAGAAAGGAGGTGAGAAAGAAAGAAAGAGCAAAAATAAAAAGAAGAAAGATTAAAAATAAGAAAGGATGAAAGAAACGAAGAGAAAAAAAGAAAGAAAAAAATGTGATCTCACATGGAAAGAAAGAAAAAACGAACTGCTACAAATTTGAATATACGAATTTGAATCTAAACTTAATCTTTAAACTAATTTCGTCCAAAAAACAAAAACAAAAAAAAACAAACAAAAAACAAAAAAAAGTTTAACCATTTTGAAAAAAATATTTTGTATCATTATTTAGCATGTCAAGCGGCAGCTTTCAAATTAAGAGCAATACCACAGATTCGAAATTGACTTTCGCTAATGTGACGTGGCGTAATCTGAATAATTTGGCTATAGTACTAGAATACAATATATAACGAAACTTATGACAAGATGAATTATTATTATTACTATTATTATTATTATTATTACTATTATTATTCCTTACTATGGGCTCGTGCCCGAGTGGTTAGAACGATTTAGAGCCAGGTTCGAATCTCACCATGGTCGATTTGTTAGGAAGGAGACTACCTGACGTTATCGGACTGGAGGGGTCGATCCCAGCGTGTGGCACGTTTGGAAAGTGTCTGAAAACCATACGACTGGTTGACCCACGCATTGTGAGTGAAATTGGGTAGACGGAACTCTTAGGGGCCGTCGACAGTAGTGCTAGCACGAAGTCACAAGTCATCGTGAACGAGGACCTGAGTGTGCTGGCCTTGTTCTAATTGTGGATCACGCTAGATAACACGCTCTTTCCCAGAAACTGTAACTAAGGCCTGCTCAGCATAGTTGCAGTATAAACCACAAAATACAAATGCGCCTGAGCAAGCGTCTGCGATAGGGATTGGCTAGCTGCCCTTGTAGAAGGGCATCCTCGAATATTAGTGGCCAGCTATACATATTCCTTAATTATCGGAACAGCATGCACATCTTGGTTGTTTTCCTCACAAAGTTTCGGTCATTATACTGTCCAGTCTTCTTCAGGTGTCTGTCGTCGAACTCAGAAAACTTCTTGGATGTTCGAACCAAACCCTTTATTCAATCCACGGCGGCGTATGGCTATTTCTATATTTAGGGGAGATAATTTATATCAGCATCGACCAATCTTATCTTTGTGGCGCTTGTCCGATTCTTTCACTATATTAAGGAATATTTTAGTACATTTTTAAAAACTAATTTCTCACCCAGTAAAAAACTCGAGAGTTGGTCAAGGTAGAGGAATTCGGAATACGGTTGTTGTATGGATTGTTCAATAATTAGCTTTTTACGGCTTATCAACCCTTTTAAAGACGAAACAAATTAAGAAAACCTTTTTTTTTTGTGAGTGAATATTACATTAATAATATTTTTGTGAGAATAATTCCGACTTTTTCAGATTCAAGTTCTATTATTTAACCCGTAAGGGTGAGATAGTTTCATGCCTTTCTGAAGGTTATTGACGCGTAACTGAATGCAACGAATCCGACTGGAATTCGAACTCTGTTCTCCGATTTCTCACTTCGAGCTGCTATCTATTACGCCACTGGAGCATCCACTGTTGCATGGATGCAAGAAGAGGATGTAGGTGCAAATTATGAGGATATGTAGAATAGATAACGGTTGATCTTTGATCTAAAGGGGTTAAAATCGTAGTGAACGCTGAAGCATCCTCTCTGGAGCCTGTTTCAAAATGTAGCGCTTCCTGGAAAGACGTTGTCTGAGTCTAACTTCCTCCTTACCAATGGAATACAAAAGGAATAGGGATGATTCGGCTTTGTTTACGTGGAATGGCGGGTCCTAGCGGTAAAGATCTGAACTGGTGAAACTAAAGAATACCGCTATTCTGGACATTTTCCATGGAAATAGAGTACCGATAGGCTTGAAGAGTTTAAGGTTGTAGCTATCAGTGAAGCATCCACTTCATCTGTAAAAGCAAGTAGCGGTTCTTAGGAAGAAGCCCTTTCGATTGTTTTTCCGTCCATTCTTTCTTAAGCGTCGGTCTTCATACCCGGTACAATTTTTTTTAGAATTTTGAACTGAGCTCTGTGGGTGTTCACATGGATAGATGGTTCCTTTTTCACGGTCTATGCTTAGGAGATACAACTCCTATACAACTCCTATACAACGGTGGGATGAAAAATCATAGGCCAACTACAAAAAAAAAATGTGATGCTCGAGCTGTGAAATCTTGCCTGCATTAATTTTAACTCTTCGTATTAATAACTGCATTGTTTTTTTTTCTAGGTAAACTGACATTTGACTTCAAAAGTAACTAGTAGCAACTCCCTTGGAAATGGACAAAATTTGGCATCTTGGTGTTACCATGTTCCTGCAGAAAAAAGGTTTAGTCTTCAAGGACATTCATACTTTATCAACAGTGCAAAAGTGGGCAACAGCATTTAGGACGGAAATCGAGGGTCTTGAATGATCCAAGATCTGGACGTTCTGCAACTACCACCACCTATGAAAATTTCAGGCGATTGACTACATATCAATATAGCCTATATTATAAGCATATCCTGTGAGAGAGTTGGAAATATTTTGCACAATGAACTTGGCGTGACGAAGGTTTCTGCCAGGTGGGTGCCACATCTTCTGACACCTGATCAAAAGTGCATCAGACTGATCGCATCATGGAAAAATCGGTCATTCTTTGAGCAATATCCATTTGGTTTTCTAGAACGTTTCCTAACCCAGGAAGCGTGTTGGATTCATCATTTTGAGCCAGAGACAAACAGACAATCCATGCAGTAGAAACTTCTTTCTGTATATGCTCCAAAGAAGGCTAATGTTGTTTCATCTGTAGGGAAGTTATTTGAATTTAGAAGGGGTAAAGAGAATCTTGAAGATGACTCAAGGTCTGAACATCCCGCAACTGCCACCACCGAGGAAAACATTGATCGTGTTCATCACCAGGCTGATCACATCGGATAGAGCATGCAAGGAGGAATTAGGTACTTTCTGAAGCGATACAAAGTGCCTTATCATTTTGCCAGTATCTTTACCATCTTATATATAAGGAATGACACTCCGGCTTTATCAACATTGCTAAAGTGGGAAGATGAATTTAGAGGGGGATGGTAGAATCTTGAAGATGACTCAAAGTCTGGATATCCTGCAACTGCCACAACCGAGGAAATATTTGATCGTGTTCACGCCATCGTGATGGTTGACAGGCGACTGACTATAAACCAAATAGCCGATGTTATAAGCATATCCCGTGAGAGAGTTGAGGATATTCTGCACAATGACCTTGGGATGACGAAGGCTTCTGCTCAGTGGATGTCACACCTTCTGACACATTATCATAAATGTATTAGGCGGATCACAATAGGGGAAAATCTGACATTGTTTGAAGCAGATCCACTTGATCAACCTGATCAAAAGCGCATCAGACTGATTGCACCATGGAAAAAAATCTTCATTCTTTGAGCAAGATCCATTTGGTTTGAGCATTTCCTAACCCAGGAAGAGTGTTGGTTTAATCATTTTGAGCCAGAGACAACCCATGCAGCACCTGCTCCAAAGAAGGCTAATATTGTTTCATCTTCTAGGAAGGTGATGGTCTCAATTTTTTAGGAGGATACAAAAGACATTGTGTTTATTGAATGTCTTCAGAAGAGCCACGCCATCAATGGAGAGTAATACGCCAACTTGCTGAGGTAGTTACGGAAGGTTATCAAGACCAAATGCCTATGAAAACTGACATAAGGGGTTTTCTTTCATCAGGACAATACTCCAGCGCCCTAGTCATTGATCTCAATAGCTGCTGTATCTGACTGTGGCTTGGAACTGGTTGATAACCACCCTATTCGCCTGATTTGGCTCCATATGACTATCATCTGATCCCCAACATGAAAAACACTTGGCTAGGTAGCAATATCGCAGTGATGATGGCGTCAGGTCTTCTGTTGTATTTTTTTTAACCACTCAGATGAAAGCTTCTTCATCAGTGTGATCTAAGTATTGCAACACCAATGGAAGAAATATATGAAACGCAATGGGGACTATATATTGAAAAATAACCCTCATTTTTTGTCCATGAGAGTATTTTGGTTAGTTTATGAACTTTTCAGCCGACCCTGGTAAGTTTATACTCATTAGTTTTATTCATCTTCGTGGTATTTGTTCGTTTCTTTCACAAAAGCAGGGTATGCTGATTTTACGAAAAAAAACTACCAGACCCAGGGATTGAACTCAGATCAGCCAGGGAATTATATATGACCAACGCTTTTATCCATCGAGGTCTCTTTGAAAATCTGCCTCTGTGGGTTGAATAATAGACTTCGTTCAAAATTCCGAGGTGGTGAGTGAGTAGGACAGTAACTACCTGAAGAAAACCGTAGAGTACATCAGTCGAAACGTTTTGATCATGAAAGCCAATATATGTCATTCCGAATTGCAATTGGAAGGCACTCAAGAAGAAAGGGATCACCAGTGGTCAAGAACGGAGGCAAGTGTTACTGACTGGTATAAGAAAAGTATCATAGTTTTGCTTCTTTCTTATTTAGTTACCATGTACGTTACGCCCTGCTAATACCTGCCAATTATGGTCTATTCCGTTTTGATGGTGAGAAAAGACGGAAAAGACATATAAGAGACGATGTTTGGTTTCAGTTAGAAAAAAAGAAAGAGAAAAAAGAGGAGGTGATAACTCGCTCATGTTTAACATCTACTTCATTGAAATGGAAAGAAATTGTCAATTTTTAATCTGTTCATTTGTACCCTCTTACTTCTTTAAATAATAATCCGGGGATAATAGGGCAATTTCCCCGTTTATTGTATAATGGTAGAACTCGCAAGGAGTTGATTCAATCATTAACTTAAGAATTATGCTTTGTCATGAAAGTCAAACAAAAACATTCAATTTTTGTGGATACTACTGGTATATATGTATAACTAACTTAAAAGCCGCCCCAACGCGGAGGGATCTTGATTAGGTCTTCATCATAATAGTTAGGGAGGAGTAGATGCGATGGTAACAATAACTTACAGAAGTACTCAAAATTGATCGCTGCATTTAACTATTGCATTAATATTTAAGCTTACCTTTTCAAAGTTCAACGATAATTCTTCTGCTGACACTTAATTTTGATGTACGTAGGTCCTTACTTTCCGTACAGACAATTATTTTTATTTCATGGGTGACTGTCGCTGGATTTCGCAATTCATTTCAATTATTCCCAAATTTATTTCCAAGTTATACAAACATTTTGTCGCAAAAAAATCACGTAAAAAAATGTCGCTGAAAAAAATTGCAGTAATGAAAACTTGAGAATTGAAAATTTCAAAATTGTGGGTCCGGATCTGGCTTGGAATGTTTTTAACTTGCTCACTGAGTTGGCCTGATTTCAAAATGGTGCGATATGTTGGGCTACGGTCTCTTGGAGTAAACATGAAAACGTGTGACACACTGACGTTAGCATTTATTACATATATGTCATATTTACATACAATGGACTAAATGAGAATCGAAAAAAAAACATTTTCTAAGGCGTATAATGAGAAAAGACGGCTTAGAAAATTTGATACTCACAGGACAGCAATGCATAAAATTCCTGACGGGCATGTGTAAATGGTTGCCAGAGCAGAAGTTAGGAGAGATAGCAAAAGGATAAACATTGCTAACAGCTACAAAGGAGAGGAAATTATGGAGAGCCATGATCACCCACGTTCTGAAGGGACACGGCACACGGAAGAAGAAGAATGTTTCAATTGAAATGCATCGTGAAAGAAAACAAATATGACGGAAAGGAGAGCTCGAGGATTTTTTTCGTTAAATTTGTAGAAAAAAATATCCTGTTAAATTCTGTTAGGAATACGCTGAATCATTACGCTAGCCAGCTTCCTGTATATATATATATATATATATATATATATATATATATATATATATATATATATATGAAAAAAAGAAAGAAAACGTATTCATTGCAAATGGAGTTCATTCAAATACAACCTGTTACTAAACTTTAATTACTAGAAAAAGAAAAGAGAGTAGGCGAAGTAAAAAGAAAGGCCGGAAGAAGAAAACACACACAAAAAAAAGAATAATAAAGAAAGAATGAAAGGAAAAAAAGGAAGAAAGAAAGAAAGAAAGAAAGAAAGAAAAAGAGAAAAGAAGCAATAAGAAAAGAAGAAAGAAAAAGAAAAATGTGGAAAGAAAGAAAAAAGGAATGAAAGAGGAAAAAGAGAGAAGGAATAAAAGAAAAAAGAAAGCGAAAAATAAAGAAAAAAGAAAGAAAGTAAAAGAATGAAACGATGAAAAATAATGAAAAAAAAAACGAAAGAAAAAGAAAAAAAAACAAAGTAAAATAAAAGAAAGATAAGAAAGAAAGGCAGAAAGAAAAGAAAAGAGGAAACGAACGGGAAATCGAGAAAACAGTCGATGAAAAAAAAGAAAATAAAAATAAAGAAAGAAGAAAAAGAAAAGAAGCGAAAGAAGAAAGTAAAAAGAGAAAAAAAGGCAGAGAGAAAAATAAATTATAAAGAAAGAAAAGAAAAAATTAAAGAAAGTAAGAGAGAAAAGGAAAGAAAGAAAAAGAAAAGAAAGAAAAAAAAACATTTCCAGAAATCTGATATGTCATCATGGAATACTTAACGAATCCTGATGATGCATTTTTTTGTGGAATTTGCTTTCGTCTATCTTTTATATGCAACGTCTTTTTGATTTTGAGAAAACTACTTATGTATCACTAAAAGGCTTCACATTACCAGACAGAATAATTTGCACATTCAGTACATGCCACAAGTGACTATAATTCGACGACTAAGTCAGAATTATATGTCGCCTAGTGTGCTCGTTTCAGATTAGAAGGGTCGTCCTTGTTATCGCGAAACGTAGCTCAGCAGGGAGACCAGCAGACTGGAGGACATGAAGTTTAAGGTACAGTCACTTGACTGACTTGGACAATTTTATTTCATTTTTTTAAAAGTTTAATGATTAATAATAAAAAAAGAATGTAAAGTCATACTGTATAACGCAGATGTGTGTGTAATTTTGTTGTATGCGTGCATGTATACATACGTTTACGTGTGTATGTATGTGTGTTTTGTGTGTGCAAGTATCTGCGCATTTCTGTGTGTTCCGGTTTGAGCGTTTGTGTGCGTTCATGTATGCGTGAATTTGTGTGTGTGTCTGCATGTATACGCAAGTTTGTGAGCGTGCATTATTTTCTGTGTATAAGTATGCGTGCGTTTCCGTATATGTATGAGTGCGTTTACGTGTGTGGATACAGTGCGCGATGGATAAATTGTCGTCTAAGTGATGAAAGAACGAAAATAACACTGACATCTCATTTCAGCAGAGATGCAGGGTGCGATGGATAAATTGTCGTCTAATTGATGCAAAGAATGAAAATAGCACTGACATCTCACTTTAGCATACATAGAAGATATATACCAAAATTACACAAAAATATCTTGAAATACTAAAGAGTAAATTTATTTAATAATATTGCAATTGGCTTCAACCAGGGACTCCAGACAACTTCGGAATTACCTAGAATTCTTCTGGACGGTCTTGTTTCACACTATTTACATTATCCGGACTATTGTCCTCATCTTTGTTGCCATATTTATTACAACGTTTCGGCCGTTGTACTCTTCGGCCTTCTTCAGGTAGTTGGAATGTCGGACTGAATCCTTTATTTCGCTCGCTGGGGTAGACTGTTCTAGTTCCACGTGTCATGTCTAATGGATGTCAGTTATCAGTTATCTCATGTTAATTCTCAAAGTTCCCCACCGCCTTAACCAGGTATGGAACTTACAACTGCTTTGGGTCCTGTCACTGGATCTGACGAACGCCTTTATCCACTGTGCCATATGTCCTTAAGGCAGTGGAGAACTTCGGCATTCAAACCACCTAAACGTTGTAATAAATATGGCGTCAAAGATGAGGGCAATAGCCCAAATAATATAAATAGTGTACATAATACCTCATCTCAGAAATATAGACAAATACTGAAAGGCCGAAACGTTGTAATAAATATGGCGACAAAGATGAGGAAATAGTGTGCAATAGTCCGAATAATGTAAAAAGATAGTGTAATGTATAATACCTCATCTCAGAAATATAGACAAATATTGAAAGGCCGAAACGTTGTAATAAATATGGCGACAAAGATGAGGGCAATAGCCCGAATAATATAAATAGTGTGCATAATACCTCATCTCAGAAATATAGACAAATACTGAAAGGCCGAAACGTTGTAATAAATATGGCGACAAAGATGAGGACAATAGTCCGAATAATGTAAATAGTGTGCATAATACCTCATCTCAGAAATATAGACAAATACTGAAAGGCCGAAACGTTGTAATAAATATGGCGACAAAGATGAGGACAATAGTCCGAATAATGTAAATAGTGTGCATAATACCTCATCTCAGAAATATAGACAAATACTGAAAGGCCGAAACGTTGTAATAAATATGGCGACAAAGATGAGGACAATAGTCCGAATAATGTAAATAGTGTGCATAATACCTCATCTCAGAAATATAAATATGACAAAGACAAATACTGAAAGGCCGAAACGTTGTAATAAATATGGCGACAAAGATGAGGACAATAGTCCGAATAATGTAAATAGTGTGCATAATACCTCATCTCAGAAATATAGACAGATACTGAAAGGCCGAAACGTTGTAATAAATATAGCGACAAAGATGAGGACAATAGTCCGAATAATGTAAATAGTGTGCATAATACCTCATCTCAGAAATATAGACAAATACTGAAAGGCCGAAACGTTGTAATAAATATGGCAACAAAGATGAGGACAATATTCCGAAAAAAATAAATAGTATACATAATACCTCATCTCAGAAATATAGACAGATACTTCTTGTTTAAGTTAGTGAATGCTGCCATAATCTTTGCTTTCAGTTCATCTTTAATATTACAAGGAGTTTTTTTGGTGTCCCGCTCAACTGCACCCCACCTTTAATAATAAAGGGTGTTGCAGTCTGGGGAGTTAGGCGGCCAGATGGAAGGGGTGAAGTGATCGCAGAAATTGTCTGGCAGCCATGATTGGGTTCTCCGTCTTGTGTGGCATGGTTCAGAGTCTTGTTGTCAGACATAGGATCTTCCAGCTGCCATCCTCTTGACGCAGGGCAGCACTACCTCTTCAAGGCACATGTAGGTCTCCGGGTTGAGTCTGTGGCCCTGTGGGAAGATGTATCATTAGTGATCATTCAAAACACCTTCGCAATCACCATTAGACTCATCCAACTCTTTCCGAATCCTATGTACTGTCCTCAGATTGACACCCAAATACTCTGAAATATTCGTATTGGAGCTTCCGGCGCGAATGCCAAAGAGTACAGCGTGCTAATTCCAAGTTTCTGGCGGAGTGAATTCCGACACGGTGCTTCTTTTTTTCATAGAAGGTGCCGAACTGACCCTATTATACTGTATAGTCGACAAAATCAAAAACAAACAATGCGCATGCGCGAAGCTAAAAATATAAAATGGCGACAATTTATCTATTGCACGCTATATTTACGCGTTTGCGTGTGTATTTATATGTTTTTATGTATATCTCTGTGTACGTTTATGTGAGATTTACAACTGTGCGTATATATATATATATATATATATATATATATATATATATATATATATATATATATAATTATCTATTTAAAAATATGATTCCTTCGCTACATAAGAGTTCTCATGTTTACCTAACGAGTTCTTTCCTATTTTCTAAATATTTTAACACACACACACACACACACACACACACACACATATATATATATATATATATATAGGAAAACGATATATACATTTTATATGTCAGAACTAATTTAGGAAGATCCAAGACAAAGAGATCTCATCAATTTAGCGTTGAGCTGCAACCGAAAGTTCTATGCTAACAGTTTCTTCCCTCGCACTTCTCACCTGTGGAACTCCATTCCAGTCCCAATGCTTTCCATTCAATTTTAATCTTCCAAAAATTAATGCAATGTCAATAGCTACCTACTGCCCTCTTGATTACTCTTCTTTTGCTCCCGCTCCTTGCTAATGTTTCTGTTTTCTAATTCTTCCACACACAGCAACCCCCTACTATCTTAGTAGCTTTATTGCCTTGCTTTGGGTGAAATCGATAAAAAAAATTTGTAAGAAAACTTTTCGCGTGAGGCGTTTCTGCCTTTAGGACTTCATCAGACTAAAGTAATGTTTGCGTTAATGAGTTTACATATGCGCATAAAAGAGAAGGAAGCTGCTGATATTTAAAGCTTAATGAATATATATATATATATATATATATATATATATATATATATATATATATTGTGTATCTAGGCAGCAATCCTTCATTTATGCATGTTTCATTAAAAACGACAGATAAGATACTAAGCAGAGTGTGTCCCAAAAAGAAAACACTTGTTCGAACACAAGAAAAATTAAATGAGAAACTTAATCGTAGTACCTTGTCTGTCGTTTTTAGTGAATCACACACACACACACACACACACACACACACACACACATATATAATTTCTATCACTCGTATATCATTGCTTGAATCGGCTTCTAATGCTATGGATAGATCGGCTTGGAGATAGAAGATGTGGCTCGTGGGGGCACAATCCGTTGGGTTAGGGAAACTCGGATGATTTACAACACGGAATTTGGAAAGAGCGGCGCTATATCGAGTGTAATTAGTAACCTCTTCGTCCCTGAGGCCTGTTGATACAGTCGGTATGAAGCTTGCGTCGCGTCGTAACGGCCCGGGTTCAATTCTCGGTATGGGTGATGAGTCCCAAAAAGAGGACGAAACGGCCGTCCAGTGCTTTCTGTATTCTGTTGAGGATTCTTCTAGACTTGATTGTTTAATTATATATATATATTGATTATATTGACATTGCAAAGTGTCAAAAATGATTTATATATATAGGTTCGCGTACAATCACCGAAGTTGATCCTGATTGAACACGCGTGTGCTGTATTAGGCAATGGCTCCGGATTGTTAATCAGAAAACCGATATGGTTTTACCTCTTCATCTATGGGTTAATTAGTAAGACTACTATCACTAAGATCACCCTGAAAACATTTCCTGGCTTTTAATAACCTGCAAAGTGTTGATAAACCGTAAAAAACGAATCAATCAATCAGTTACATCCTTATGAATATATATTCTTATATACCGTACCTATGAACACTACTGAGTATGTCCCAATCCTCATAAATACGTTGGACACTATTATAAGTGGGGATTAATATGCTGTCTAAGTAGTCCCCCACTAGCAGTGGTTTACCTACTTCAGGCCGCTGGCGAGTATTGTATTTTGTTGATGCTATAAAAGATTACCATTACAGCCTATATATATATATATATATATATATATATATATATATATATATTTTTTCCAAAATTGTATTTGATATTTTAATTGCTCTGTAATATAATATAATTTTAAAATATATTAATAATTTTTGATCACCCTCGCAATTTTTAAATAGCAAGGGTGGTCCATATTATTCTATATATATCTTATATTATTTTTCACACCCAAGCTCACACACACGTACACGCGCGCGTACACACACA